CTATTTTTGTGTTAAAATTCTGGGTTTTGTATTTTATTTTATTTTAAAATACCTGACAAGGGGAGTACAGATTTTCATAAATATTATATAAATTAAAATTGATATAGTATAGATAGTTAAACTTATTTAAATATGTTTGTTTCTTTTAAGTCGAGAAAAATAACTTTGAAATTTGAACTAGCTTAAATAGCCAATTTTTCAACCGCCGGAAGCAACGTACGGTTGCCGAGTTGGTAAAATTTATGTTTTACACGCTTGGGGTACGAGGTTCCAACCCGCATATGGCAATGAATTTTTTGCATTTTTTCTTAATTCTTTTTAAGTTAGTATAAATTTTAACTCGTTTGATTTTTATCACATTTAGATTCAATAACTTCAATAAAGATCAAGGATCCCATCACTTTAGTCGCCCCTTGCAAGAAGAAATTTCTTATTCGTTATAAAATTATTTTACTATATTTTAAGTTTTCGCTTCGATGCAAAGTCGAGAAGATATTTTTTTGTGACTATCATTTATTTTCTCTGCTCTAACTTGACCTACTTTTTTCAACAATACGTCAAATTACTACAATTCGTATCTAGTTGAAGATATTACTCTCAAAAATTGAAAAAAAAATTCTAATTTATCAATTAAACAGTTAGTTATTACATCGTCTCCATAAAGACAATTAAAATCATTAATTTCTAATGTTTTCAAAATATTTATTAACGAATGAAGTTTGATATGATAGGTTTCAACTACAAAATTAAATCATTTTACTTTGTAATTTAATAATTTTTTTACTCTGTTTGTGTGTGCTACTATTAGACTATATTATTCAAATTTTTTTCTAACGTGTTGCTATATAAATCATTTCTAAAAAAAATGATTGTTTTTTCTCCTGAATTAACAATTGATTTTTACAAATATAATCAAATTTTATAATAAACTCAATTGAGTAAATCTTTTTAACAACTTTGTTTTGATTGGTACATTTAGTTAAAGTAAATCATTAAAATTAATTAAGTTCTCAATATTTCAATTATAGAATCTTTTCAACAAACAACAAAAGTTCCTAGGAAATTATTACTATTACTTCTATTTAAGTTATCTATTACCATAAAAATGCAAAAAAATATTGAGCTTTTCTGATAAATTTACAATAAATAGTAATTATAAAACTTTCTGACTGCATATTGATCTTAACGATACAATTTTTTTAATTGTCATAAAATTTTCTATTTAATTATGTCAATGTCAAACTTACCAATTGAGCTAAAAGTTATGGTAAAATAAATTTTTTTTTTT